AAAAAAAAAATGTTTAGGATGTTTTTGAACAACAGTTACCAGAAGAGGAGTCACCAATGACCATCACGCCTGTGCTCTACAAAACTCTATTTGGGCCTTCTTTTTTTTTATAAGAGGGAGCACAGCAACTCACAGTGACAAGGTGATCTGAGTTAATATCACTAATGAGGGCAGATGGACATCACGTGCCCCCGGACAGGATGCCCCGAGAGGGACATGACATCACTTAGGTACTATTCTGGTCAGGAAGGCATGGCCTGAATCTAATCTAACCCAAACTCAAGAACATTCTATAAGAGAGCTGNCAGGAAGGCATGGCCTGAATCTAATCTAACCCAAACTCAAGAACATTCTATAAGAGAGCTGGCCTTACACTTAATTAATGTCAATATCATGACAGATAATAGGAAAGGCTAAAGAATAAATCAAGATTAAGGAAAATTAAGGAGACATTAAGTAAACGCAATACATGGTTCTGAATTCGGACCTGCACTGGAGGAAAAAGATGCTTATAAAGGCCATTATTGTAACAGTAAACAAAATCAAAAAATATATATCAGATGAAAGTACTATAATAATGTAAAATTTCCTGAATTTTAAAACTTAATTGTGATTATAGTAAGAAAATGTCTTTGTTCTTGAGAAATACATACTGACGTATTAACGGGTAAAGGGGAATGAAAAATGTTATCTAGTTTCTACTGGCTCAGAAAAAAGAATATGTGTGTGTGTGTGGAGGAGAGACAGAGAGACAGAGACAGAATAAAATAAAATAATATAATATATGTGATAAAATGTGACAAAATGGTAAAAATTGGTGAATCTGAATTAAGAGTATACAGAAGTTCTCTGTATTATTCTCTTAACTTTTCTGTTGAAAATTAAAGTTGAAATTCCAGATTAAAAGATTAGTTGACCTTGGCGGGGAGCAGACACAAAAACAACTACATCTAGCTAATCTGTGCGCTGTCATTTAATTTGGCTGAGCCAATGTTTACTAACTAGCCACTAATCAAAATTATTGATTATATCACTTAATTAAAATGTTTATTTCCTCCAAACTGACTTATTTGAGTTTAATCACAGCTGCAAATTAAAAATTCCCCATTAGTCAGATCCCGTACAGCTACTAGGAGTACATGCAGTCTACCTTTAATTGCACATTTTAAAGAACTTGCTGATGTGGTTTCAGGTATTGCATGTGGCTATGGCATTAGCTCTGTGTCCCCGACTGCCCCAGTAGGCCTTTCACATTTTCTTATCACACAGGGATGGTGCTGGGAAAAGACCGAGCCACTCTACTTGTCCCTGGGGCCCTGGCCAGCAAAGTGATGCCAAGCCCTAATCCTCACATTTGGAATCCAGTTCTTTTCAGAATTTCCTTTAAACTGCCAAGTTAGCTTTGGATTCCTCTCCATGGCTCAAATTCAGAAAATGAAAAGTTTCTCAAGCAGGGGTAGCATCCTGTAATCACCTCTCAGCAAATCTGAGCCCCAGAGAAGTGGAAGATTTCCAGCCCCTGTTCTCATAATGAAGAGCCGCCTGTGCCTTGGCCTCTGTGTGCATCTCAAATGCTCGGGTCCATACTGACTCTCATCCAGGCAACTCCCAAGTACATTTACCAATTTTCAAGTAAGATGTCCCAGTTGTCTGTTCTACATATATACCTGCTGGAAACCAAACATCCACTGAAGTATTTTTTTTCCTACCTGAATACATTATTTAGTTAAATTTAATTAATAATTATTACTTTAACTGGTGATTGATAGATAATGCCTATGCGAAGTAAGCTATGTTTCTGTAGTATGATC